ATCAAGGTGCAACACAGAGTGAAGAATATGCAAATGTTATTTTATGTGTGATTTTTCAATTTCTGTACCTGAACATCTACAAACATAAAAACCTAAAGCATCATTTCATTTCTATTTTTGTGTTATAGGCTATATATTATGTGTTATAAGTATATATATTACTTGTAATTTGTTCATTTGTTATTTACTGGCTGTCACTTGTCTTTAATAATGTTTAAACGTAATGTTTATGTTTATTTTTGGCTAGTGATTTTTGCTGTGGTATCGAAATTGAAATGGAGAATTGTAAAATTTAATTGGTATCTAAAATATTGGTGTCATATAAGCTTATTTATTAGAATACAAGATAACAGATCAAAAACAATGATAACAGCAACTATTTTATTTGTTGTGGCAGGGCCAGTGAAAATGTTGACAGGGCAAATAAAAATTGTAAGAAAAAATCCTTAGCGTTGATCCCTGCTTTTGAGAGAGAAATTCAAGCACTTTTCAATGACTTTAAAGCATTTCACATAAATATTTAATACGAGTGGAATATGTAATTTTTCTATATAAAAATTAGATTTTGCACCTATTACTGTTGTTAATAAAAGTAAATTTTGTATGCATCTTAACTCAACCTTAGTTCTTTACTGTCAAATCTGTATAAACAATAAACAAAAGAAAAATAAACAAGAAATGGGCATGTAATAGTATTAGTAACTGCACTTATTAATGCAAAACAATAGTAATTTTATGATTAAATGATATATATTCTAATACTCCCGCGCACCACCCCCAGTGCTACCAAATCTGCTCATGGCGCCACCATCTGTAGAACTTAGTGGCGCTGGTGCCACTGCTCTCAAATGTTAGTCTGCAGCCCCGATATATATTTGAATCACTATCTTTAAATAAATCACTCATATAAAGTTTTGGACATACGGCCCACTCATACTCGTGTTAAATAAGCATGATTACAATATTGACCAAAATAATTGTGATTATGATTTTTGCCATAATCGAGCAGCCCTATGAAGAATGAACACCAACCTCCTTGTTCCTCCTGTTTTATTCTCCAGGGTTCTGGTTCCTCGTGGTTTATTCTGCAGGGTTCTGGTTCCTCGTGTTTTATTCTCCGGGGTTCTGGTTCCTCGTGTTTTATTCTCCAGGTTTCTGGTTCCTCGTGTTTAATTCTCCAGGGTTCTAGTTCCTCGTGTTTTATTCTCCAGGTTTCTAGTTCCTCGTGGTTTACTCTCCAGGTTTCTGGTTCCTCGTGGTTTACTCTCCAGGGTTCTAGTTCCTCGTGTTTTATTCTCCAGGTTTCTGGTTCCTCGTGTTTAATTCTCCAGGGTTCTAGTTCCTTGTGTTTTATTCTCCGGGTTTCTGGTTCCTCGTGTTTAATTCTCCAGGGTTCTAGTTCCTCGTGTTTTATTCTCCAGGTTTCTAGTTCCTCGTGGTTTACTCTCCAGGGTTCTGGTTCCTCGTGTTTAATTCTCCAGGTTTCTGGTTCCTCGAGTTTTATTCTCCAGGTTTCTGGTTCCTCATGGTTTACTCTCCAGGTTTCTGGTTCACTCGTGTTCTCCTCACTCTCCTCTTTAACAAACAGCATCTTCACAGCAGCAGATCTCAGTTCAGCTGTTACTCCTCCAGATATTCCTGCTTGCCTCAAAACTAAGTCACGACTGTGAGGATGAGAATATTACAGGTATTTACTGACCTGATTCAAAAACGGTATTTTTCTATTTACAGAAACAATTCTAACCGCGTAGCATCCCGACAAAACAGAGAGCACGGTGAAGCTAATCGTCTTCCTCTGAGGTTTAATGGTGTTTGGCAAACAAACGTTTTAGCGCCACCCGCTGGACTGGAGTGTGAAGCGTCGAGAGGAGGAAAATAATACGGGGAAAATTACTCGTGTGTCTGGTGCGCTGTTTTTTTCCCCCATCTTTAAAAAAAAAGCCGATCTGCACAAATAAATGAAGTCACGACTGTGAGGATGAGAATATTACAGGTATTTACTGACCTGATTCAAAAACGGTATTTTTCTATTTACAGAAACAATTCTAACCGCGTAGCATCCCGACAAAACAGAGAGCACGGTGAAGCTAATCGTCTTCTTCTGAGGTTTAATGGTGTTTGGCAAACAAACGTTTTAGCGCCACCCGCTGGACTGGAGTGTGAAGCGTCGAGAGGAGGGAAATAATAAGGGGGAAATTATTAGAATTACTTGGTGCGTGCGTCTATAAGGTGCGCTGTGTTTATTTTATTTTTTTTATTTATTATTATTTACAAAAAGCCGATCTACACAAATAAACGAAAAGGAATTAAAATTATAGCCTAGCGCATGGTATTTGGTCAACACCAGTCAGCAAATTTCCTTTGGCGCAGATCTGGCCCATATCACCAGCTAAAGTGTGGCCCAGATTAGTTTGTGTTCGCAGGCCCAAAACTGGTCCACATCTTTTTAGCCAGAACTGAACCTAAACAGTGCCATAACCCAACCTGAAGTGAGACAAATCATAAAAAAAGATGTGGCTGATATATGAACTGTAAATCCACATTCTTTTCTATCACCCAAGACATAAGGGCCTTTTTAAATTAGTAAAATTGTAGCTATTGTAGCTACAGGCTATTTTTAGACATAATACTTAATTATATACATAATATTAATGAAAACATTAGTGTAATTGTACCTCAGTTTTGAAGTCACAGTTTCAGACATTTTTGGTACAGCAGGGGGAGAAAACATACAATTGCTTCTTTTTTTTTTTTTAATAAACAAT